GGAGAAGCGCGGATCCCCGGGACGGCGGTGGAGACGCTGTCGCACAAGGCAGGGAAGCAACTGAGTATATATACGAAGATACGAGGGGAAATACACATACCTGTCGCACAAGGCAGGGAAGCAACTGAGAGAACAAGTCTGGGTTGCTCCCTGGTGCGACAGGCGACTATATAGTAGATGAGTAATCCATCAACGCAACGAAAGATGGTCCAATGAGAGAAGGGGAGGGTCCTCGGGCGCCCGACACGTGACCGGTGGACCGGCCTAGGAGGGCCGGGCGAGTGCGGAGGCCCTAGGAGCGCCGAGCGACGGAACGAAATAGGGGAGATGCCAAAAGGAGGGCGCGGGAAGCCTAGGAGGGCGCGGGAGAGCGCGACCGAATAGGGAGACGGAAGTATTAGGGGAAATGAACGAAATGGGACAGAAGCGGAAGCAGAAAAGGAGAACAATGAGACATGAGGCGAGTGTGGGAGCCGTGCCCTGACAGATTCGTTCGTCGGTGATGGGGGCGAACTCGAATGCTGGTTCTGGGTATTCATCCTCGTGTTCGTCTTCGTCGATCTGAACGTGGTCAGGGGCCTTCGGGAAGAATTCCGCCTTGAAGAATTCCGCCTTCTCCCGGTTTGAGGAAGCCATCGTAGTTTGGCCGTCGGGTTGTTTTGTCGTGAGCGTCGGGACTCTGGCTCTTGCTGCATCTGTGGAAGGGGAGCTAATGAAAGAGCTGGTCTGCCACATTGTTAGGTCGTTCACCGTTTCCAGCCATCGCGTCCAGCATTCTTTCTTCGCGCGTTTGATCGAGTTGGTGTAGTCGTTCCTGGCCCGCCGATATTCCTCGTGTATGGGGTCGCGTCCGTTGAGGCGGCAGTGGTATGACTTCTTGCCGAGTTGGCGCGCAAGCTTGCGTTTCTCGTTGAGGTCTTTGTTCCACCATCTCTTGGTATACGGTACGATCTTGTGGCGTTGGACGCATTCGTCGGTCGTCTCCTGAATCGCTTTTTGGAGTGTTGTTAGAACTTCCTGAAATTCTTCTACATTCTCGATCTCCTCCGGGTAGGGGTGTGGTTCTAGTCGTTTTTCAAGCTTCTCGCGGTATTCCTCCCAGTCGACCAATGCCCATGCGAGGCGCGGGCGGTATTCCTTGCGTTCGAGTGAGAGTTCGATGTCCCATATTATTGGTATGTGGTCCGTCTTCGGCGGTCTTTGTCCTGGAGCCGTCGTGCACTTGGCGCATCTGTCCATCAAGCTGTCAGAGAGGAATACGTTATCGGGGCGAGTGAAATTTTTCGTAGCCATGGCCTCCAGCGTCGGAACGCCATGGGGGAGGAGCATCTTGAGGTCGTGTTTGGCCACTAAATCAATCAGTATCTGCGCTTTAGCCAGGTTAGGAGCGGTGAATAGGTGGAAGTTGCGTTCTTCATCCCATAGTGGTGAGTGTCGGTTGAAGTCGCCCGCCCATAGTATGTGCAGGGGCCGTGTTTGGTTCCTCCGATCACGTTGGATGGAGTCTATGGTCCTATCTATGGCAAAGAGCGCGTCAGAACTTTGTTGATCGAGGTAGACGTTGAAAACTAATAAGTCTCCGTTCGCGTCCGAGAGTTTGATGGCGGTTACGTCGGGTGATTCGACCGGGATTTGCATCCAGCTGTCTTGCGCAATGGTGTGGTGTATGAGCATGAGTGATCTGGTGATGTTGCGGTTCCTCCGGTGGGTGCTAGGGTATATTGAAATCCAGGTGTGATTCGCCCTCGAGTTTCCTAGGAAGTCGAGGTACGGTTCTTGTGCGAGCCCTACTCCGAATTTCGATCTGTTCAATGAGATCAGCCAGTCTTGCTGTGCGGTGTTCGATCGGCACAGATTTTGTGACCAAAAACTTATCGTTCCCCCTCCGTGTTCGTTTCGTTGGTTGTGTCGTTCATGCCCATCCCGCGCCGCGTCCCGTTTCATCAAACTGTACC